TAAATTTATATTCCCGAACAGCTTTAATCAATCCTCACTTCACTTTGCCTTGATTTTTATTTGTTTATGTATAAATCCTGCCCCACTTGCCGCCTTTAGCGCTCTCGCTCACACTTAACACCTCCCCTCCCCTCCTCTCTCTCTCGCTCATCTTTCACTGGCCTGTCTGTTCTCTTTTGAATTTTGAGTACTTGATAGCAATTTGTTGTTGAGCATTTTAATTGCTCGCGTGTTGTTTCGCTTGGCTTTTCCCTTTGAATGCCTCCATCTCATGTAGAACCACCGCAGACGATGGTGCAACACCCCATTCTCTACTCCCTTTTACCTCCTTTGCCACTCTTGGGTAAATTCCATTCACACATATACGCTTTATATGGCGCATATAACGTATACGCAGCGTTTACGGCACAGTCAGGTGGCTGTGCTCCTGTTTCAGGCTCGCCTTTTTCCGTGTTAATTTACTTTTCAGCTTGTGGCCATCGGAAAAAGCAGAAACAGCAGCAGCAGGAACAGTAGTCGAGCAGCTCAATTAACACAAAAAGGAAACCGAAACACAGAATGAGTGAATCCTGCAGCAGCCAGTAATGAAAGGAGTTGCACTGTACACCAACAAACAAATTGCAAAATGAGGCTCTTTCCCTTCAGCAGCATGAAATGTGAGCTAAACAAATAGAAAACACACTCAGACCATAGTTAAAAGTCTTTTCAGCAATGCTGGATTTGTCACATGTTGATTTTGATGATAAATATGTAAGGAAAATTCTTTAAAAATCAGAAAATATTCTCCAGAGAAATTGATAAAAATATTCTCCTCTGATCATAAATGAGACCAATATTGAGTTTAGGCCACATTTGACTTCAATTAGTGTTTCAATTTGATACGAATTTACGACCATTCCTGGATATAAGTTCATGGGGTAATATAACTTCCAATTTGTTGCCTACTTTGCGGCGGCGGTGCACACTTTAACCCGTAGTCCGTGATCCCAGAGTCCAAGTCGCCATCCAAAGTCGCTGAAAGAGACATAAAATTGAGGCCAGACGACGACTTTGTCTGGTTCCCCTTTTGTCCAATATCTCCTGACCCACTGTCGGAGGACCTCTTTTTATTCTAAATTTATTACACACTAGCAAACACACACACACATACACCCACAGACACTAATGAGAGCTGGCACAACACACTAATGCTCATAAAAATCCGCACCACCTCTTCGCCTACCCCCCTCTAAACCACTTAAACCCCACTGGTGGCACATCAAATGGCAGAGTTTAAACCTCATCGCTGGTGCATAAATTTCAACCAGTTTAGTGCTCTTCCAGCGCCACTCCCTCGTCATCAGGATGCGTTGCTGTCCATTCGAGCATGTTTAATAAGCGTCGCTATTTTTCATGCGCAGTCAGCGGAGGAGAGCAGCAGCAGCACTAGCTCCCACCCACCCATCGCCATCTCCATCTCCCTGATGTTACATGCAGATGGATGGGCCAACCATGAGAACTATGAGTGCCACGTGAAGAGTTTGCTCTTAGCAAGCCAGTTGAAAAATATTTGAACTGAACGCGGAGCGGGCAACAAAAAACAAAGTGGTAGAAAATGGAAATCAAACTATGGGAAAAATGTTAACAAAGTGTTACTCTTTTGATAGGAGAGCATGAGCTGACATAACTTTAATATTAAATAAAAGAAAAATCGAAGTTTCCTAGGATATATATTTCTCTAAATGTAATCATAAAAAATAAACATTTCCTTTCAAAACCACAACTTAACCACATTGAACTTCAATTTCCCCCCCACCGAATTGATGATAAGAATTAATGGTGAAGCGACAAATGCGTTGCCCCTATAAAGATACGAATCTCTGGCGAAAGTTTCCCTCGGGAACAGCGACTCCAACTCAATTTATATAGCATTTATCAACCATTTTGGCTTGGGTGTGTGTGTGTATGGGACAGACTAAACGTGAATTATGATGATGCTGCATAAGAGTGACATACCGTTTTCATAGTGGAATATCACATATATATTTTTTTCTACGCTTCTCTGAGGATTGTGCTGTTCTGGCCATTTTGTTGATGTCTGACTAGTATTTTTCCATGCTTCGCTCCTGCTGTTTTTCCAAGAGCGGAAAATTTGTCAAGTCAGTGAATCGTAAATGTTATATGGAGCGAGATGGGTACATCAGGGGCACGGAACAGGAGACATGAGACAAGCACACTGGGTAAACAAATGAAAATGCTGTTTGCATTGAAATTTCGTTCGTTTGGTTTTCAATTAGGCGAATGCTGCTGCGGCCAACGCTGTGTATGAGCAATGTTTGGCAATAATTTGCGGCTTCAAACAGGCTAAGGAAAAAGAAAATAGATAGAAAGAAGAAGAAGCAGAACAAAGCCGCAAGAGCAAACAAAATTGCAGCAGTTTAGTTTAAGGTTGAGAAATGTGTTCCCACCAACCAGGACACGAAGACATGGCAGTACATCTGTAGCTATTAGACACGTAGCCGGGCTAGTGTGTACTTCCACGAATCGAGGTTCTGAGCTGAGCCGGAGGGCGTGGTGCTCACGTCCTTCCGTTGGACATGTTTCACCATCCACCAGGTGTTCTTCCAGGTGTTCGTGTGAGTGTGCGTGTAATAAATTTCAACTGCACACAAGTTGAGCAACAAAATCGAGAAAATGAAGCTCGCTTATTTAGTGCCTTCGTCTAGTGTTGCCGAAAGTTATTTTGGCTTTTGTTACACTGAAGAAAAGGTCTTACTACTAACAACTTGATATGCAGAATGAGTGTTTCATTCGCCTTACGATTCATTCTTATTTTTGATTTCCCATTTCTTTCGTATTTAATTTTCATTAAACATGAACAGTAAATACACTTTTCCCAGTGCATCTTCCTTTCTTTCAGTTTCTTTCCCTGCACTTCTTACGTGTGAAATTTGCCTAATTTATTTATGCTCAAGAAAGAATTATTCCCGACATTAGATACATGAAATTAGATTCACTGGCAGCTGAAAATAAGAATACAATTTTTCCTCTACTACCATCCTGCTCTCTGCTGCTGCACTTCCACAATCATTTACTTAATTATTTAAAACGTTTCATGCAATTTGTGCCAGCCTTGACTTTTCTTTCCTTATTTTTTCCTTGCCCCTTTTCAAGACAAATGCAATTTGTTTATGGAAAAGTAAAGTAAAGGCAGCAGGAGTCCCGGAGCCTGGGGATTCGGCTTTTGTGAGAGAGCGAAAGCAGGACTTAGGACGCAGGACGCAGGACGGGACGCCCAGGATACGCAGCGCATTTTGCTGAAATTACTTTGCATCGGCGAAAATGTAAGGAAATGCTGTGCTGAGCCAGCCAGCCAGCCAGCTTCTCAGATGAGTCACCTTGCAACATTAACCCCTTGCTGACGACTTCCTTTCATATTTCCTCTCCGCCAGCAAATTGCTATGCAAATTGGGCGAATAAATGAGGCTGATGCTGATGCAGATGCAGATGATGATGTGGATTAGCTTTGCAAATGCAGCTTAATATTTTCTTTTAGCTGATGCAGAAAAACATCGTTAGCTGCGACCAAGAAACTGGTCAAGGAAAAGTATAGAATTTCTTAAAACAATCTAATCAGAACTAAAGTATAGTCTTCTTTCCGATTTACCCGGGGCATATTGTTAGTAATAATGACAAGCTTGTCTCAGCTTGTAGATAAGATAAAACGTTTGATAGGATGATTAAAAAATAACACAAGAAATCAATCAATGCTTATCTTATTTCTGGACTATCATTAAATGGTTAAGGGAGCTAACTTGCCTTAAATATATTTGCAACTTAATCACCTGTGTTTGTGCTTGAACTGCTCTAACCAAATTATAAATACCTTTAGTACAGAACTTTCATGGCAACCTTTTACCAAAATCCCATAGCATTTAAAGTGATTACAAAACTAAATCAGTTTACTAAGCTGAATTTAAGCTGTGGGCAAATTTTCATTTTCACTTTTTCCCTGTCCAAACAAAATTCGGAATTTATACAATAATTTAAACAGAATCTACCGCAACATGTGCTAGCTTAATCTATGAACGTAAAGTTATCAAATATCAGAAAATACATTTGGCTTTTCTGATTATTTATGCCCAACATTCAGCTTTGGGTTAAGCTGCCAGCCGGCAAACTCGCTTCTAACACTTGCAAAATATTGCGTCTGCCTGTGCGTCATTTTTCAATTTTCCCCATAGCTGCACCTGGAAGAGGAGTGGGTTTGAGGTGAGAGGGGACTGGGCTGCGAAAAATGGAGAGAAAAGATCCTAATAAGAAAGCTAACATATGCAGCAGCCATGTGTGTGGAAGAGGGTGGGAGGTGCCCAATCAATAAGATGAGATGCGGGGGAAAACCCACAAGAAAATCTCTTTGCGGCTTAGAGTAAGAATTTTCCCATCTCATTTTTGTATGTCTGCAGCGAACGAATAAAATCAGAATTCTTATCCTAAGCCGCAAAGTCGAATGGAAATTATTATCTCATAAATATCTTAGCAATGCTAAAGCCAGAAATATTCCAGAAATTGCCTGGGGAAAACTTTATCCCCTCTCTCTCTCACATTTATTGGTAATTGGTATCAGTTAAAAGTCCGTTCCATGTTGGGTTCTATACTATTCACTTCCAAAAACAAAGTTGATGTCGGAAAACTTTCTGCTAACAATATTTTCAACACCTAACCTTTTGTGTTTTTTATGGTTTTGAACAAATTTTGTTGAACCGAAAAGTGAACATGACAGCTTAGATATATTTTTCAGACATTTGTTAATCCTCTCTGTTGGCCAACTTCTCCATTTGTTCAAATATCTGCATCTGTATCTGATGTTTGCTCAACAGCTTTTTAAAGTTATGTGGTTTGAGGTAGACAGAGATGTGTTTTTCGTCTAATAAAAGTCGAGACTAAACAGATGTCTAATTACGCATTTTTAATAGATTTTTATATCTTAATTTAGTAATAAAATAAAAAGCAAAACTCACCTCAATGCAGAACTGGCAGCCGCACTGCTGCAGCGACATCGCCTCGCCCACGTCCTCCACATCGATGAGGCACAGCTTGCAGGTGAAGGGCTGGAAATTGGTAGTGGGCGTAGCTGGAGTGCCCACGGAGGGCGTAACATCGGCAGAGGCAAGCATCTCACGACGCTTTAGGGCAATCCCATCTCGAACACAGCAGGCCTGGGCCGCTTGATTCGCACTGGCCATGGAGAGCAGAGAGCTCACGGTCAATGGATAAGCATGATTAGTGCCAAAGGGACCTAATTCCCCGCCGCCAGGTCCGTCAGTAGTGGGCGTGGTCGCGGCCGTTGAGGTGGCCTGATGCTGCTGCTCCTCCGGATTTAGATTATTGGCAGAGCTGGAGTGCAAAGTGGCCGTGGTGACATTGGACGGCGGACTGGGACTGGTCGAGTTTGCAGTTGTTCCACCGCTTAGTCTGATCTGGGCATTCACATTGATGTGCGGCTCCTGCGATCGACGTTGTTCCTCTTCCCCTCCAGCTTCTGGTTGATTGAGGGCCGAATCCGGCCGTGGCACAAAGCCATTGGCCAGGGAATAACGTGATCCAGAGGCAGCCAGGGATAGCAAACTGGAGCAGCGAGAACAGGTACCTACGCCATTCATGCTGCTCACACTGTTCCGCAGACGATTCAGTGGTCGGATCTGCTCTACTCCACCGGAGCTAAAGATTCCGCTGCCATGGACAGCCAAGGAATGTCCCTGACTCCTACTTTGGCTCAAGCCGTGGACATGACCATGCGATTGCGATTGCCGGGTAAGGGCCAGGACCGTTTCACACTTTCGCAGTCCCGTGTACTGGACAATCGACTGGGACTTCTCCTGGTGCAAGCTACTGGCGCTGCCCTCGCGCCGCATGATGTGCCATAACTTCTGCTGGACCACATTCAAGGAGCTGCTCGAACCGCTGATGCTCAGGCTGCCGCGTACCTGGCCGTTGGCTACCTGACGGCCAGAAGGATCTCGGAGCACCACATCCTGTTCGGAGGGTGTGCGTGTGATTCGTATTTCCGGTGAGGCAGGACGTTCCCGTTCAGGAATACCTCCACCTCCGCCTCCAACGACACCTCCTCCTCCTCCACTTCCTCCCCCACTCCGACTACTGCTCGCCTTGAGTCCCACCAGCGATTTGAGAAAGTTCTCGAAGCGACGCCTTCGAGGTAACTGCCCGCCGCCGGATAGTCCCAGTGAGCTCTCCAGATCTCCTCCTCCATTCGTAACCAGTGCTCCGCCGTTTCCAGATCCTCCGCCGTCTCCTGCCCCTGCACCGCCAGCGTCGCCATTTGCCGAGGAAATGATGATCTTGCTGCGCGTCTGTGTGTCAAGTAGCGCAACCGTCTCGGCGTCGGCAGAATCGTGGGCGTGGTCGTGGCGGGGCGTGGCATGCAGGCCGGTGGAGGCCTTTTGGCTGGCGGAGCGCTGGTGCTGCTTTGTGTTGGCCAGATTGTGGATTGGCGAGGAGTCCTGCGGGAATAAACACAAGAGATTAGTTTGGGGATTTATGAGTTTCTTAACGAAATTTTAACAAAAAGGATGCCCCAAGGGAGAAGGATCATTTTCAAGGAGTTCACCTACCCGAGAGTCCTGCTCCAGCTCCTCCTCGAGCGCACTGTAAACGGGCGCGTACCAGGAGTAGGAGAGCTGTTTGCGGGCGGACGAAGCCGCACCGGGAACAACGACGTTCGCCGTGGGTAGTGCCGTGTGACCTGCTCCGTGGTGCTGATGCTGCTGCTGCTGCTGCTTGAGCGGCACAAGCTTGGCTCCTCCACCGCCTCGTCCTCCGCCTCCGACTCCCGTTGAAGCGTTGGTCACCAGATTGTTGTTATAGCTGAGGGGTAGACTACGTCTCTGGTGTTGACCTCTTGTGGGTGGCAGATGCTTCGTTGGCTTTCTGCCAACTCCGTACAAACTGCTATGATGCTGGCGCCTTTGTTGCTGATGATTATGCTGCTGATGATGATGATGATGATGGTGGTTATGATGATTATGGTTTCCCTGGGTTAGTTCCTTCTTGGTAAATATCAGCGAGGCACTATTCTTATTCAGCCTTATCGAACGCTGCTTATCCACCACCGTGGCCTCGATGTGGGTGAGCAATGGTACCGTCTCCGATAATGGCAGCAAATGCTGCGAGGATGCCGATTCCGAGGGGAAATTAATCACAAAGTTCTCGGCGGCGTCATCAAAAATACTAGCCCTGGCAGCACTAACACAATCCTCACTAGACGATGGACTGCTCAGGGAGCTTCTCTTGGATCGACTTTGATTGTGGCTCTGGTTCTTGAGATCCTTGGCGTGCTGCTGATAGCTACTATAGCTGATCTTATTCTCAACCAACAGTTCCAACGCTGGCAGTTTGGCGTGATTGTGGTTATGTGGACTCCGATCCTGGTGTATGATGTCCTGTGGATTAACGGAGGGCGTGGCATGCGCGTGCACCTGTTGCACCGTATGCAATTCAGTCGTCTGCAATCCCGTCGAAGTTGGCATCGATGGCATTGCCATTGGTGGCCGCATTCTGGCCCAGATTGCACTCGAACAGGGTACTGGCGTTGAAGGATGTGCTCAGCTTAACCGTGGCTGGCGACGGCACAGTCATGTTGACGAAGGCCTATTGAGGGAAAGTTAAAGAAGTTGTTAGTTTTGGTTACTTGGCAATCAAAGGCTTTCTTGAAGTTATTAAAATATTATCTTAACATCCAACTTTTGATGAAAGAAAGCAATAAGTTCGTTCTCTTAACAGATTTGGCAAGGAACTCCATGCAGCTAACTCAACTGCTTAGCTAGTTCAAACGAAGTTAGCTTTGGATTTAATATTATTCCAGTTACGAGTAAAATTAGAAATAGAAGTAAAGCAGGAAACATTTTTACAAATTCAATATAATCTTGCAATCCACAAAAACAATAGCTACCTCTACCAATTCCATCCGATTGCTGGCAGCTGCATCCGCATTTGCATTTACGGATTTATTGGATTTATGGCAATTGGCCGAAGGGGAATAGGATAGGGGCCCTGCATTTTGATTAAAATTTTGGCATTGTGCAGCAGGGCTTTCCCTTTGGAATTTAAACTGGCCAAGGATAAGTTTTCCTCTGGCTTAGGACAAGAAGTGAACCGAAGGAATCTGGGTAATCGATGGATCACAATTAAATGAGAATCTCAACGCTGGCTAATGGGTTTGAATAATGTTTGATTATGAACAGCAATTGATGTATAACCACATTAAGTGGCTTTCAATGTTGCTACCCTCCATCCAATGGGGCATACAATTTGATTGAGCTTTCGCATCCATCATGGCGGCAAAATCTCCTGGGGCCTTTCGCTATTCGTGCCATTGGTTTCCATTTGAATGGCTACCAGCTTCGCTAATCCCTTAAAATTCCAGCAATTCGAGGCCAATTTAATGCCAATTAATCGACAGAAACTATACAATGCGAATTTGCATTGGCAGTGCCAACAACAAGGAAACCAATTTCAATTTGCAAACTCCGCGCTGGGCAAACAGAATAAAACCGAAAAGCAGAGGGGATTGGAGAGGGCAGAGAGTGGGGAGAAGAGGGAGTCTCTCGAGGATCTACCGCCCCATTTGCATTCAGTCAATTAAGTTATTTTCCACTTTAAGCCTGGTCAGGTGCCATTGCAATTGCCAGTGTGCCAAACTAAAACAAAAAAAAAAAAAAAAATTGATAAAAAATTTCCCATTGGCCAGCAAATTGATAAATAATAAAGCGAAAAATACACAAATTTTGGTAATTTAGATAAATGAAAATAGACAGAAAATGTGTATGCCTATTGGCTTGGTCAATAGAGGATGCATTTATAAATTGGATAAGCGGAGCTGGGGATTTATAAACTGAAAATAATTTGAAAAGGAAATTAAATTTCCAATTAAATTGAAAACCAAAGATGGTTATATTTGGCTCACTTAAACAAGTTTTCTTCATTTTGGCCACACTGTTTCTTTGCTTACATCCTTCATCGCCTTCTTGGCCACACTGTTACGCTGAACTCGGTGGTAACCTGCAGGAATTTTCCATTAATTTCAACTTAATTACGACGGCAGCAGAAACAGAAGCCGCAGCTGGCTCAAGCTGCACATGCCAGTCCGCCATTCGAGGTATGTGGCTATATTAATTTTTGGCATGCCTTCGCCTAGCCCCCCCTCTTGTTCACCCTACCACCTACCGTCATCCCCTTTGGCCCACATCCTCCCGCATCGGCGCAACGCAACGAAGTATGCAACGAAAAAATGCGAATTACGCATAATTGCTGAGCTCAACCGAGAAGCTGAAAAGGACACTCAGAGAAAATGTGTCTACTTTTTGGTTATTTTATAAGGTTTCTCCTTTCTTTAGCTTTTTTACTTTCTAAAGAAAACCATAAACTGTAAAATGTTTGTAATTTAAACAGTTTTTAAACTAAAAAGACTCATTTTTAACTTGTTCTTAATTAAATTAAGATAAAACTGTATCATTTAGTGGTATATAGTTGTTATAAATAATTAAGTTGTACTAAACTCGTAAGATATTTTCTTAAATGTATACTTCTTTTTGGCATGCAGGGAAAGTGGAGCGAACAGAAGAAGCCACAAGCCGCAGCGCTGGGAAAAAAAAGTGAAAGATAAATTGCTTGCCCACGCCCACATAAGCGTTGCTACAAGGACAAGTCAAAGGACGAGGGCGAGGGGCTGTTGAGTTGAGCAAGGTGAGAGGGCGGTGAATTTGCCGAGGGGCGGACATCTACAAGACACTTTAGCCACCAGGCGGCTGACACTGACTGCTGTGTGGCATTGTGGGAAATGTCTTCCCCTTCTGGCAAAATTAATCGCCTTTGGCGTACATTGTGAATACCCAAAAATTTGTCTTCTGTACATTTACATTTAACGCCATTTAAGCGTCGTTTGGCATTGCAAGGATAAAGTCAAGGCCAAAACGAAGATTGATGAATGCCCATAAAGCAGAATGCACATATGCAAAAATAGGTAGACAATTGTTATTCCACAGCAATTTTGCACCTCATCCGCTGCTGCTGCTGCTAATTATATTCTACGAGAAACTGTCAAATCATCCAATCATGACATGCAACGAAAACTTCATCTCCAACGCAAAAATCAGGGAACAATCAAGTCACAAATCCCGAACAACAAATGGGTTTTTGTTTTCATCATCATCATCATCATCGCCGCAGCAGACCAACTAATTGACATACGTCAATTGGCCAAAACGGAATTAATGAAGAGCCAGAATGAACGAGTGGCAAACAGCAGCAAAAAAAAAAAAAAACAGGGAACACACTGAATTATTCCAGTCAATTACCGGCGGCGATCAATAAATAAACTATAGGAAAACTTACCATAATTCAAATGGCCAGCAAATGCACTAGAAAGCCTGAATTCCTCAATGAACCTGCAACAAAAAAAGGTCGTAAATTAAATATGTTATTAAAAACTTAAATATTTATACGTTGCCGGCATGAATAATGAAGAGTTTGATAAACATTTTATACTTTTTCCACTATTTATTATTATTGTTATATTTTTTATAACAACTTAAGTCAGCCATGGCATGAAAGTCACGCTTGTTGGGCAATGAATTTGCCAGGTTAATCATTAACCATACACAGGAAATGAAAAACTTCAGCTACCTACAAATATAATTTGATTTGAGATACACTTCTCTTAGTCTATTAGCTTTTCTTTTAATTTTTTTACCCTACCCGAAATTACAAATTAGTTCGCTTCAAAGCCTCAATTAATTGTTTAGACCGGGGCCCTAATTTAAGTTAACAACCTTTTGGCCATCATCAGTGGTTGGCTAAAAGGGAATTTTAATTGGCTGTCTGTCGCTGTGCGTGTGTGTGTGTGTGTGTGTAAGCGGCTAATTAGACTCGCGACCCTCCAACAAAACCCGAGGCATACGGCCACTTGGCTTGGGGTTAAGCCTGGCCAAGTGGTCACACATGCAAATGTACAAGTGCCCCACATATATATATATATATATATATTCATATATATAATGCATTTAAATTATATGAAGACACACACAGGTTGCCCTGAAAATTGTGCTATGCTTTTGTTCATGCAATACCCACACACACACACACACACAACAGCCACACATTTAGTTAATTGTAATTGCAGCCTGGTCATGACATAACTACCAGTTGGCCGACAGGTTTTCCATCGATTACCAAGCCAAGAAGCCAAGAAGCCAAGAAAAGTCAGGGACACCAATGGCAGCCAATCATTTATCAAGTTTCAAACGATGATACGCTTTGGTCGCTGATGACAGTAGAAAGTTGTGTAATCACGGCTAAAAGTACGAAAAGAGAGAAAGAGAATACAAAGAAAAAATCGAAATCGAAAATAACACGCATTTGCTGACGTCAGAAGGCAAGCACAAACAGCTTGAGAAAGATTTATCAAGTGCTAACTACTGCCGGCGACCAACAGAGCGTATGTGTGATATTTGTCATATTTAACAAGGGAGCAAGCGGGGTGGTAGGTAAAGAAAGCAGCAGTAACAGCTCGAACCCCTCTCTCTCTAATTAGCTTTGTTAAAGGGTTTACTTGGTATAAAAGGGGTGTGGGGAGCAGAAAGAGTAACAGGCATGACAATATCTCATGTCCAGCAGGATGGCAGCCAAAGGATTAACACACAGCCACACCGCATAAGCAGCTTAAGTGCTGGTTCCTTCGTTCAAGGCTCCTCTTTGCCGTTCATCCTGGAAGCCAAGCCAAAGGACTCACACGAGTGACAAATTAATCAGTTTTACGCCATAAGGTGGAATCTCAATTAAGTCGCTGCCAAGTCAAGCTTTAAGCCCAGCCTGCAGCCATTTCCAGGCTAACCAAATCCAATTTAAGACTTTAACAATACAGAATGACTTCATGGTTGGTTGGCTGCTGGCTGCTGGCTGCTGGCTGCTGGCTCTATGTTTGCCTATTTGGCTAACACAAAAGCTTAATCTAACATCAAAATGGTAATTTTATTAGCCGCTTGGCTTGTTCATAAAGACTACAATGAGTTAAGAGTACAAAATACAATTAAATAACAGTTTACTACGAAAATCAATTAAACACTCTATTTGATTTTGTATTTTATGACAGCAATTTGCCAGAGATAAATCTCCAAGGTTAACTTGCTTTTAGTCCAACGAATTGTTGTCTCTTTTGGGTAAATCAATTTGATTTATTAGGGATTATATTCCATAATATGATTTCCCATTAAAGCAGACTTTGGTTAGGGGAAACATTTTTCCAACATAACTCAAATGCTATAAAGCTCCCTTCTCATTAGCTGCACTTCTGTTTGCTTAACAAAATCAAGTTAAATTTAGCACAGAAGCTTCTTTTAACTTCACCCTCTCCCACACAGCCTTGGCTCTTGGCAAAAAGCCCAGGAAAGAGTCAAAGTTGAGGACCATCGCATCAATAATCAATGCCAGGGCAATAGAATCGCAATCAACTACGTGACATAAGGCAGTCAGTCTCACCTGGCACCTGAAAAGAATTGCATCGAGTCAAGTTGCAATTTGAGAGGCAGATAGGGAGCACTCCCCCTCCCCCGCCCTAGAATTGAGCCTCGAAAATGAGATTTTACATGGGGGCTACCATTCACTGGAGAGATACCACGCGAATCCTCGAAAGCCTTTCAGCCACGGCCACACCCAGTTTTGCGGAGAGGGCGTTGGAAAAACGAGAGGCACTCAAAAGTCTAGACAAGACAGAGGCGGAGATGGTATAATATTAAATAAACAACATACAAGTGTTTCGGGAGGGGCCAGAAGAAGGAAGAGTTTGAGAGTACATTACGTATACGCCCTGTTCCCCTCGAAACACAACACTTTTTAGAGTTAACACCCAAGCTTAGCTAATGACAGCCTTTAAAGAGTAAGTTTTCGAAAGAAATTGCACAAATTAAAGACTCACGCAAGCCTTATTAGGGCCCTGGCAATCAGCATTCGTTTCACAAAATCTCAATTCCGATTATTTAGCTTTAGACTTCTCTCTGGTGGGGAAGTTGCTCTATTGCAGCTGACGCCATTTTCATGTCGCTGTTAAAAGCCACAAACAACACAAAAGCAACATCTTGCAACCGCACTTCCTTGCAACATCTGCTCCTTCTCAATGCCCCCATTGCTGCATCCCACTTCTGGCTCATACAGCTCACTTCCTTTCATGTGGATCCATTAAAGTGCCAATAGCACAAGTTCTGGTTGTAGCTTCATGATGAAAGAACTGCCATGCGGTGGCTGTGGAAATTCTGGAAATTCTGAAAATTATGCTTCCTGACAAGCTGAATAGAAAGCAGATTTTATTTGCTTATTTTTTAAATAACTCAATATTCTTACAAAGCGTTGAGCGAAGTGCATACTTCTCCAATGAAACTTCAAATTGTAAAGGAAACTGCAAGGGGAACTTTATTCGCTTATGGAAAACGTTTTAATCGGTGTGGAAATTCTTGAATTTATGGGTTAAGTTGCATATTTTAAACTCGTTGAAGAGCTTTAAAATGGTAACAGAATTTTACTAGCTCTTAAATATTTTGAGAATGAGTTAGATCTTTCCTAATATTTGTCTTATGACTTAAAGGGAAGCAAATGCTGATTTTTGTATATTCATTTCTAAGATTACAGTACTGTGTTCGATGCGCATATAAATGTTGTGTCAATCTAAAGTCATTAACTTTTTAGAAACATTTTACAACTTCTAACTAATCATGTAAAAACATCGTTAAATAGCTTACATAGTTGCAAAGATACAATGATTCTATTCATAACCAGCTGGTTATCTTTTATCTTCCACAAAATTCCACAAAAGCGAAAAGAATGAACAGTAAACTGTCACGCTGGGCTGTGAAAATTCTAGAAAAGCGGACTTCCTAACAAGTTGAACATCAATGAAATGCAAGCGGAATGTAAATAATTTAATATCTCAACATGGCTTAAATAATTGTCGACTTTTCGGTATATATACATAGCCATCATGACGAGACAAAAACCAGCTAGATAACAGGAAAAATGCACAAAGGCAGAAGAGCTGAAGAAAAAGCATTTCGATGTCGTTGTCATAGTCGGGCGCGCATGATTTCCGTGCTTAACATTTCCTGTTCGAAACTGCCATAAAATGGCAGAATGGCAACAGAGAAGAAGAGGAGGAGGAGAAGAAGAAGCTAGGAGCCGGATGCACAGGATCCTGGACTCCTCCGGCAGCCGAAGGAATATGTAATGCAAAAGAGCAGACAGATGAAACAACAGCCAGCTGAATGATAGACACAAGCGGAAGCGAAACTATTCTAACAAAAACAAACTTTTGCCAGAGGAAAATGAACGAGCAAAGTTGCCACTGGCAACTTTAAGAGCGTTTCCTATACATACAAATATACATTCTGTTGAGTTTTCGTGGCTTGAATCAAAGTGCAATTGAGGCATCTCCTTAACTGTTGAACGAAAGTTGAAGCCACAACAGACTTAAATTGTCTCGGGAAAAATAAGTTATCCTGTGATGTCTTCATATTAAATATTCAGAAAGCAATTAACTTTGGGTGGTTAAAATTTTGTACCAATTTTCAAATCAAATATTAACAAGAACCCCTTTGAACTTTGGCAATTAGACTTTTAGCTGTTAAAATACAAAAATCACAATGTTTACAGTTTACTTTGGCAAGCACTTCAGTTCGCATATCAAGTAAAGTAAATAAATACCGGCGAAACAGCAAAAAGAAACGTTTAAATTGTCAACGTTTTCTGCTGATTTATGGCTGGCCAAATTAATTGAGAATAAAAACTGAAAACGGAGAAACGGCGAGACCAAAAAGCTGAAATCGAGCTGTGCAAAAAAAACCAAAAAACACACACACACACACACAGCCCGAAATTAATTGCACTTGTGAACTTTTGATGCTGCGTTGTTTGGTTTGGTTTTTCGCTGCTGCCTTTGGCCTCTTCTCATTTGTTACAGTAAATTCAATTAAACAATGCAATCGTATAAACAAATCTACAGTCCCGCACAGCCCTCAGCACCCTCCATTCGCATAGTTTTTAATTGAAAAATGTGCAATTAAAACTCTCGAATGCAAAAGGCGCACAAAAAAAGAGAGAGCGAGCGAGCGAGAGTGGCCCAGACAACGACAACGGGGCGTATGAGCAATGCTGTGTGTATAAATTATAAGTCAGAAGCAAATTAATTAAAGCACTTAATTTTGCCATAGATTCAATTACATTACATGGCATTCAATTAAGCGCATAAATGTTCTTTTATCACGAAAAATAATAAAAAAAAAATAAAACCAAATGAATTTCGAGAGTGACGGCTGTCGCAGGGGATAATCAAACGAATGGCAAGTAAATAAATATGGGTAGGATATATTATATATGGCAGGGCATATAGCTATAGCTTCGGGTT